GGGTTTAGGGTTTAGTTGTGTTTTTTTACGTCCCTTTTCCGTCTCGCATGAGGTTTAGGGTTTAGGGTTTAGGGACATGAGTGAGGCCTGGAGATTTCATGGTCCGGGGAGGTTCGGGCAGCCACATTGTGCCTCCAATATTCTCACAAAGGAAGGCAATTGAGCTTGCAAAGGGTCCTTCGCAAGGGCTTCTATAGGCACATTCAGATGCAAGCAGTGCCTCATTAAGGATTCCTATATTGGAGTGTGGAGTGCATTTGAACCTTTTGCTGTGCCCCATTTCTTCGTCACCCAAAACTTGCTGTGAGGCCGGCATTGCTGACGAGACCTCCGTAGTCTCCGGGGTTCAGGGCATAGGGGAATTCCAAGGACACCGGCAGTAGGAGCCTGCTGCCCGAAACCCCTGCAGCATTTAGAGCTTCCCTACAGTCTCCATTGTAGTTCCTTTTGGGGGCTACCTTATAAAATCCTAAATATATATTTGGTTAAAAAACCAAAAACAGGAACTACAATGGAGAGTATAGGTAGGGCCTAGGGAGTCTCAAAGATGCACCTAAACCCTTCGAATTCTCTGATACAAGCATTTAGGGTTTAGGGTTTAGGGTTCAGGGTTTTTCGGTACAACGCCCCAAAAGAAGACCAACCCGAACCTCCGCAACCCACCCAGTCAAAGAAAGACTAACAACTTTTTGGGGTCGACCCAACTCTCGAGTCCCGCCTGCCCCTGCGACTCCACGCGTGCTTTCCAATAGGCCTGCGGCTTCCGGTGTTTAGGTCTTGCCGCGCATCGGTGGCAACTTCTGTGTGGGACGGCGTCGCAACTCACCCAAGGGGGAGGCATGCGGCATATCCCTGTGATAAAAGTGCGCCACACACACACACACACTCACTGAGGGCTTATACCGGCTACCACCCAAAACACTACGTACCTTTTAGGGTCCAAGGCTGGCCTCTCAATTACAAGGGAGTGTTTCAAGGGCTGGCATGACCTTCGGGGATTCTAGGGTTCAGGGGTATAGGCATTCTGAAGGGTAGATGGTTGAGGGCTTGCGGTTAATGATGTGGAAGATTTTCAACTCTCAGGCAAGTCGGAATGCTTGGTTCGGACTTCAACGAGTCTCTGTATGCCATATTCTTATGCCTTTGTCAAGCCTCACAGCTGGAGACACTCCCATACTCCTCTTTCCCTCCATGTATATCTGTGTATATACCCCTGGGCCTGCTGTGGTCGTTTTTCCTTCGCCGGCGTGCTTGCTGGGACCCCAGGTGCGGCATTTCCAGGCCGAAGAGCACCCAGCAAGCAGGCCTGGTGGTCACTGTACGGCGACAGTGCCGGCATGGTCTGGGTCTTTCTGCGGCTAGAGGCCGACGTGTTTCTTGCAGGAGGGTTCCCGGTTTGCGCAGGGTGATCGTGGTGCTACACTTGACATGAGCTGATGGAACAGCTATCGGGATAGATCCTGGCTCGCGCGTGGAGTGCACCGTTACGTAAGTGTCAATGCGCAGCAGTTTGGATTGATCCCGGTTCGCGCCTGGATTTCGCGGTTACAGAAGGCAGCAATGAGCGGATGGAAGCTCTGTCGGGATGGACACGAGTTCGCGCTTGGATATCGCGGTTACACCAGCAGCAATGAGCTCATAGAAGCTCTGTCGGGATGGATCCCGGTTCGCGCGCGGGGTGCGCGGTTGGCCACCCGGTGTGCCGGCCCCAAGGTGTTTTCAGAGTTTTCTCAGCGGCTTGATCCTTAAGCCTTCGCCCCGGAGGTGATGCCACTGCTACCTAACAGGCCGGGCCTTTGCGTCTCGGTCGTCCCTCCACTCCACTTCACTCCACTCCATTCCACATGTGTGGATATGTATGTATATATATATATATATAGATATGCATGTATGCATGCCTGCATGCATGCATGGGTGGATGGGTGGGTGGATGCATGCATGCATGCATGCATGCATGCATGCATGCATGCATGGATGTATGCATCTGTATATATATATATATACACATACATACATACATGTGTATATATATATATAAATACATATGT